CCGACCGCTGGAGGGCTATTACCCTTAGCAGGGGCAAATATGTCGATGAATGATATATAGCAATATTCTCTGTCATTTGTAGTTTGGGAGATATATTAAAATGAATTGTTCCACGGACTTTCTGTTTCACCTAATATAATACCGATAAAATTGAGTTCACTTGTCATGACCTGGAACAAATAAGAAATCCAGAAATTAGCAAGCTATTAATAAATAAAAAATCTCTACATAAAAATCAACTCTCATTCAAATTGTCAGTTGTTTTCATAGCCCGACATATCAGTGATTATAACAAAATTTTCAATGACTGAATTCAACAAAATGCAAGAATTATTAGTTGCCGTCAATTGCATACGAGAACCCATAGGGAGCACCGTTACCTCTGAGATGTCAGATGTTACAGAATATAAAACTACGTTGGTTATCAGGTTCAGTCAGAAAATACAGAACTTTATAAAAATGGCCAAAAATCTGGACTCATTTAAGACCCTTTGCGGTAACGACCGGTTAGCCCTTATAAAGTACGGGTGCGTTGAGAACCTATGTATGCGTTCACTTCAATACTATGATCTCACACATGAATATTGGACTATATATGCGGTCAGTTTACAAATAAAATGTTATTTAAGCTTGTTTAGTTTTATAATTAATAATAAATATGTATTTATTCCACAGGGGAACGACACCTCTATACGAGTAAAAATGGATTTCTTTGCCACTTGTGAGCCATTCCTATGCGATCCCCACCGGAATTATTTTAGTAAAATTGGTCCCGAATGGGATTCGGACCCTAACATAATTGACCTGGTTAGTGATTTAGTTGACCCTATTTAATATAAAACTAAAGTTAAGCCATATAAAATAACTAACATTTTATTTAGTTGACAGCTATCATACTGTATGACTCAAATCGTCTAAACCTAATCCATAGGGATGTCATTAAGTAAGTTAAACATTATTTCAGAAAATTCATTATTGTTTAGCAATTACTTAAAATTATATTTTAATTATCCCTAGACTTGAGCAACAATTATACATGTATTTACTTCACCGATACCTACACCTAAAATATCACTCCAATAGTAATCAAGCAAAACATAAATTTCTTAAACTCATGAGTTGTGTCAATGATATTAATATATTGGGAGAGATTATTAAAACTATTTGGTCTCATAAGGACCCTCAACAAGTTGGTCCTATTATTTCGGATTTGTTTGATTTACATTAGCAAGTTAATTTTAAAAATATTTATTTGTATAAATGAATATATTGTATGTGTATGGTATATTTATTATTTATAAGTATTGATTATTATACAAACTGCTAGTATTGCTATTTACAATAAAGGTAATTCTTTAGTTATATAGTTATTGAATAGTTATGGGTTAAAATAACTTATATTGAATTATTATATTGTTTATTTAGTATTAAAATTCTAAATTTGTTTGTAAACATAAATATATTTACCTACATCTTAAATTATTAATTTTTCATCTATATTTATAAATAGGATCTTCAAAAAAGTGTAAATAAAAGTGTTTATTATAAATACGGCTAAGTGTATCCATGTGATTCATAAAAAAAACTTATTCAATATTTTAATCAGTTTTTGTTATTCAGTACTTTAATCCTTTATAATATTGATAAAAACTCAAACTTTATAATCGATTAAAAAATATTTTATGAATAAATATACTGGTAACAATTATTATAAATAGGAGCACATATTATTATTAAAAACTGAGTGTAATTAAAATTTAATTTTTCTTAAAATATCAAATCAAACGTTTGGTAAATTTATACACTGGTCCGTTATGAAAAGTGATTTTTGGTCAAAAATCAATAGCTTGGACACTGATTGGCCTAAAAATTTTGTTATTAATTAATTTTATACTGAAATTGTTTGTCGAGGAATAGCTAGAATTTTCGTGATGGACATCTTAGCCCTATTTATTATAGTACTATAAAATATTATTTAAAAAATAATTTCTGTTTAATTTTATAATTTGAGTGTAGTTTATTTTATCTAAACTTGCACTCAACAAAATAATAAGTTTAAATGTTTACATAATTAAATATTTAAACAATATGAAATGCATTGTTTTTCTATAATATTCAACTGTTTTCATCAAAAGCATCTGTAAACTTTTAAGTAAGTCATATAATATATAGAATACTATAAATATTTAGTATAAATAAATATTATTTTTTGGTGTATTACCGTTTTATGTGATAACGTATTTATCTTTCTTAATTATTAGATTATATCACGTAATATAAAATAAATAATTGATTATATTACTATTTATAAGAAAAATAATGTTGTTTATTGTTCAAAATAAAATATTGATTAATAAACTCGAATCAATATAAACAGTAATTTGACAAAATTATATATGAATATAATTAACATATTGTATTATATATAAATATATCTAAAAAATAAAGTGATTGTACTGTATAATACAATTTATTACAACGAGTACATTTCATAATTGTTTTGATCGGAAGTTCAAAGTAATTAATTCACATGGTCATTATACATAATAACAAGCATGCCTTTACACATAATATTATAATAAAGTAATTATTTAATAGTAATTAGATTTACCACAATAGGGTTTACTATTTATTAATTAAGTTATTAACTATTGAGATATTAAATTTTATTTTAATATTAAATTCTAAAAAGATGTTATTCAATATAATATCCATTACATTTATCTAACAAGATTTTTTATTTAAATAATACAATAGTTTGGATAATAATAATAAAAATAAAATGATACGTTTTTCTGAAAAGTGCAAAAATATACTATATTTACTATATTCAGGTTTTTTTCATTGAATGCATATGTTTGACAACATAATTATCAATGATTTTTCAAATCTTAAATAATGTTTAACAAAAACGTGGACCTTGAGATAACCCTTTTTATTTTACATTGGAAATATTGATATAATGTACACAATAGTGAACTGAATACAACTTTATCATCTACCTTATATCTTCACTGGTGGAATATATAATTATGTTCAGTATCTATAATTAACAAATGTAGTAAGCTAAAAATTATTATACAAAATATGTCTTACAATAAAGACATTAGTAAAATATGTGGTGTTTGTGGGCAATTTGCAACAGGTATGTAAACTTATTAAATTATTGCCTAATTAATAATTAATTTAATATTAATTCAACTATACTAACTTTAAGGTAAAAACTTTGGCGCCCTAACATGTGCCCCATGTAAAGCATTTTTCAGACGCAATGCTACCAAAAATCAAGTAAAAAATAATGTCAACAAATTATACCCATTAAAAATTTATAATATAAACAATATTTCACCTTTGTAGTACGAATGCTATTTCGAAGGTAAATGCACTATAAGCTCAGTAACGCGAAAGTATTGCCCGAAATGTAGGCTTGATAAGTGCTTTGCTATTGGAATGAGAAAGGTAAAATATTTATTTGTTTACTATCTATTAATTTAAATTTTAACCATGCTTAAATTATTACAGAATCTAATTCTTAGTGACGAGGAACGGGAGCTCATCAGACGTAAAGTGGAACAGAATCGGCAAAACAGACTCCAAAATGCTATCCAATCTCTCGACTCTACAGTCAATACAAACGAACCTGGTACAAGTAAATCATATGATAATCATTGTACGGAAAATACAAATCCCGTTAATCTGGAGTCAAATACTAGTGAATCTAAAAACAATCAAAACATATGCCACGAGGACTCGTATGAAACCATTGATTTTGACGACATTTGCGCTGATTTGGTGTTTGATGAGAGTGTCGGCGAAGATGTTATAAACGACGGGATCAATGAAATTGTGGACAATCTCCTGATCGCTACTAATGATAAAAACCATAGCCTATTATATAATAAGTGTCTGACCAGTGATTATGTGCCTGAAATTCTCTCCAAAAATAGTTTTAATTCAAATTCTTCACAGAATAAGATTACTACAAATACCCTGATAAGTAATGCAGTATCATATACTTATGAAACAAACTATAACACTCAAAATAGCGAAACAATTATAACTAGATCATTTTACTACAAATATAAATGGGAAACCCCTACGGTTCCCATTCAGAGACCTATTACTGATTATAGCAATAATTTCAATGAGTTTGAAGGCAACCATTTCACGCACTTATTGACGGCAATGGACACCATTAGAGATCCGATGCCCCCATACGACAACATGACCCAGATCACCTCGTATTGGGATATGTTCAGGGCCACGACTGTCAAGTTTGAGTCAATGATTCGCAATGTAATTAAATTCTCAAAACACCTGGGTGCGTTTAAATATTTGACCGAAAATGATAAACAAATATTAATTAAGAATAGTGGTGTCGAGATCATTTACCTGTTATCGACCACTATATTTGACTTTGATAATGAGTACTGGAATATATTAATGGTATAAATATATTTTATATTTGTTTGTAAATACACATATTAATTTGTAATTTTTATTTTTTGAACAGGACAATAATAACTCAGTTAGATTTAAACTGGATATATTAAAACAAAACCCAATTAATATATACGAGCCTTTCAAAACATATTTGTTTAATGCTCAATGCAGTTTTGGTTTCGATTTAAGAATATATGATCTGGTATATAATACAGTAGTTATTATGTTATAAAATAATTACCTTGTATATTATATTAATTTCGTTACTTTATTTGTATTATACAGTTGGCAGAAATTATTCTCTATAACCCAAAACATCATAATCTATTAAACAGGACTTATATCAAGTAGCGAGTTTATTAATTCCTTGATCATTTTATTTCAAATTTAACTTTTCAAAGTAATTTATTTTATTTGGTCACAGGTATCAGCATCAATTATATTTATATTTATTGAAGCGCTACTTAGTCCTGATATATAAATCCGATAGTCTGTCAAAGTTTGAAGACATTATGAATACATTAAAGGACTTGTATTTTGTGGCAAATCTCCAGAGACTGAGCAGTTCCCAAAGGGATCCCAAACAGTTGGGACCACTACTTACGGAAATATTTGATGCTCAAACATGATGATGACCATGATGATTGTTACTAAAATATATTTAAATAAGTGTTTATAATGTTAATTATAAGGTATTATTATTAATCAATATATTAGGAAACTAGTTTATATATTTGATATCATTTGAAAGCATTGAATTTATTATAAATTATTTACAGTATAAGTATTGAATAATAAGTATGCCACATAAAATTGTAACTGTAAATAATATTCTATGTAAATTACATGATATCTCTAAATAAATGTTACGAGTATAAACATTAGATTTATATTACAGTGATAATAAGATAGCAATGTTTGAGTTTTAAATGTTATTTAAACTATTTATTATTAATATGATGAGAAAAGGGTGGAAATTATTAAAAGTTAATTGTAAACACAAATTGTTTTAATATAGGGCGTCGGAAATTGAATCCGGGTCTCCAGATTACATGTCTGACATATTTGATGTCTGAAATGTTTGTGTTTATTGTAATCCAAAAGTTATAATTCATTACTGACGGGGGAGGGATCCAAAGTGTTCTTGGTACAGTATATGCTTTTTCCCTTAGGATCATATATTAAACTCATTTAAATGTACTTTATAAAAGCATTATATGTTTTTCAGTTTATATAATTAATACTAATATACGTTTGATTTGCTCATTAAAACTTTATAATTACGAAAATTTTATTTGAATTGTGATTATAATATAATATTAAACGTAAAACCACTTAAACTATTTGTACTTATATCTATTATATCTACAATATTATATCATGTACAGTATTATATAGTATATAAATGGTTCAATAAGCATTCAGTTATACTCTTATTGAATCAATATAAATTTTACTGTATAATAACAATGTGCCTTAGATATTGTGATTTTAATATAAATACTTATAATAAATTGATCTTTTTGCACTTAATTTTACATGGGGAATAATAGTGACAATATCCATAAAATATGTGCCACTTTAGCAGTGAAGGGGTGCACAATGAAAATAATGTTTATAGTTATAATGTCTATGAAATTGTCATTATTGTCGCATAAAATTAATAATGTACTAAATGTAACCTCGTTATGAGAAAGAACACGTACAAAAAAGAACCTTTGTGCTTTGATATGATTTTAATGTAAAAATATACTACATTTATATATAAAAATTACTATATAAATAACTATTAAGTATTATAAATTTATTAATATCTTGCTATGCTTATTAAATAACGTTGAAATTGCTTATGATTTTCAATAATATATTTTATATTTTTAAAACATATTTTAATTTAAACTAGTTAATTCTTTCATTATTCAATAATCAACATTATTTTCATAATGAATGTTATTATATTAACGGTAAATATATTACAATTACAAATA